CATGCTTGCCACCCTCCCACGCTCTTGTTGGCTTAGTAATAGATCCAAACGCACAAAATTACATGACCCAACGGAAGAAAACGCTAGGAACGAGCGTTTTGAGCACCAAAACGTGGAAGAATCCGCCCATGGTCAGAAAATGCAGCAGGCATCTTTCATTCGCGAATAACAATGACATGCTCGCAACCCTCCCACGCCCTTGCTGGCTTGGTAATAGGTCCAAACGCACACAACCACGTGACCCAATGGAATAAAATTCTTGGAACGAGCGTTTTCGTCCCCAAAACGCGGAAGAATCCGCACATGTGCTGAAAATGCAGCAAGCATCTTTCATTCGCGAAAAACAATGACCGATCATGCTCGCCGCCCTCCCACGATCTTTCTGGCTTGGTAGTAAGTCCAAAATCACACAACCACATGACCCAACGGAAGAAAATCGCTAAGAACGAGCGTTTTCAGCTCCAAAACGTGGAAGAATTCGCACATGTAACGGAAATGCAATAGGCATCTTTCATTCGCGAATAACAATGACCGATAATGCTCGCCACCCTCCCACGCTCTTGCTGGCTTGGTAATAGGTCCAAATGCACACAACCACAGGACCCAACGGAAGAAAAATTATAGGAATGGGCGTTATCAGCCCCAAAACGTGGAAGAATTTATACATGTGTAGAAAATGCAGCAAGCATCTTTCATTCGCGAATAACTATGACCGTTCATGCTCGCCACCCTCCCACGCTCTTGCTGGCTTGGTAATAGGTCTTAACACATGAAACCACGCGACCAACGGAAGAAAAACGCTAAAACCGAGCGTTTTCAGCCCAAAACGTGGAAGAATCCGCACATGTACAGAAAATGCAGCATGCATCTTTCATTCGCGAGCAACAATGACCGATCATGCTCGCCACCCTCCGATGTTCTTCCTGGCTTGGTAATAGGTTTAAACGTACACAACAACGTGACCCAAGAAGAAAAACGGTTGGAACGAGCGTTTTCATCCCCAGAACACTGAAGAATTGCACATGTGCAGAAAATGCAGCAGACATCTTACTTTCGCGAGTAACTTTTTTTTTTTTTTTGGAATTGATATATACATTGATGAGGCTAATGCATACACCAAAACCTGTCGTAAGTGAGTGTGAGGGCGTGCACCATGCACTGCACAATTGTGCAACTAGGGTGGTAGGAAAACCCTCCTTGGCTTGTTTCAGATAGTAGCAAAATTCGTCGTCCACTTCCATTTCTTGTCGCCAGTTTCACTGATCCTGGCCATCATCTTTTGTTCTTCTTCAAAAACACTCCTGACCCGCTTGCACTTCCCCGATGTGCCTGGTCTTAAGCACTTGGCCCCCATTGTTCTCGTGTACACTCTCGCAAGCAACTGAAAAGCCATCCCGATCCTTCTGAAAACATGGCGGGCTCTGAACTTCTGCCTGGGAAAGGATGCGTCACATCGTTCTACCCACATCTGATGAAATGTGACAGCTGTGAGGGTGGCCTCCGAAAAATCCGACGTCGTCCCAGTTTCCAGGAACAGGAGGTCGCCCTGCGAGGCAGGTATCCTTGTAGGGTTGAGCATGCGGAGAGCACGACGAAGCCCAGAGACAACTGGCTGGATTCTCGGACAGGAGAATAGGCAAGACCTGAAGGTTATTCGCGAGTAACAATGACCGATCATGCTCGTCAACCTCTCACGCTCTTGCTGGCTTGGTAATAGGTCCAAGCACACAAAACCATGTGACCCAACAGATGAAAAGCGCTAGGAACGAGCGTTTTCAGCCCTAAAACGCGGAAGAAACCGCACATGTTCAGGAAATGCAGCAGGCATCTCTCATTCGCGAGTAACAATGACCGATCATACTCGCCACCCTCCCACGCTCTTGCTGGCTTGGTAATAGGTCCAAACGCACAAAAACTTGTGACCCAACGGAATAAAAACACTCGGAACAAGCGTTTTCAACCCCAAAACGCGGAAGGATCCGCACATGTGCAGAAAATGCAGCAGGCATCTTTCATTCGCGAGTAACAATGACCGATCATGCTTGTCACCCTTCCACGCTCTTGCTAGCTTGGTAATAGGTTCAAATGTACAAAACCACGCAACCCAACAGAAGAAAAAAGCTAGGAACGAGCGTTTTCATCACGTGGAAGAATCCGCACATGTTCAGAAAATGCAGCATGCATTTTTCATTCGCAAGTAACAATGACCGATAATGCTTGCCACCCTCCCACGTTCTTGCTGGCTTGGTAATAGGTCTGACTACACAAGACCACGTGACCTAAGAGAAGAAAAACGTTCAAAACTGTCAGAGGTCCACTGGTGATCTCCGATTGATCCTAGGGAAGGGTTACAGGCACGTTGGCCTGGGGGGTTATGGACGCACTCACCCGCTACACAAACAAGCCATTTTATCCCAGTGGTTAGTGGCTGGGATTCTGACAAAAACGAGCGTTTTCAGCCCCAAAACGTGGAAGAATCTGCACATGTGCAGAAAATGCAGCAGGCATCTTTCATTTGCGAGTAATAATGACCGATCATGCTCGCCACCCTCCCACGTTCTTGTTGGCTTGGTAATAGGAATATTCGCTCGCCATGCTGGAATTCGCGTTCAACAACGCCCCATCCAGCAAGACTAATCACTCCCCGTTCTTATCGAATTATGAAATGGACCCAGTTGTACCTACAACGACTACACTCGACAACCCGGTCCCGAGGTCACAAACATTTGTGACAGAACTCCAGGAGATTCAAAAAAAAAAAAAAAAAAAAAAAAAAAAAAAAAAAAAAAAAAAAAACAGCGTATGCCATTCGCAAGGCGAATACAACTGCCCGGAAATATACAGATATTATGCGACGAGAAATCGTCATGGCAGCTGGACAACTAGTCCTACTCGACACGAAAAATCTCCGACTATTTTGCTCGAACAAGATGTGTCTACGATTTTGTGGACCTTTCAAGATCGTTCAGATGGTGACACCTGTCACCGCGAAGCTGCTGCTGCCCGACGATTGGCGTCTCCATGACACATTCCATGTCAGCCTACTTCGCAAGTTTGTGTCTGCCACGACAGCTCGGCCTGTCCCCGAACCGACACTCGACCTGTCCAAAATTTTGGCGCATTGTGTTCGGCTCGACGCTGCTGGCCGCCACGTGGACTTCTTAGTCCGTCGGACTGAGCACACCAGTGAGGACGACACTTGGGTGCCATCCTCCTCTCTTGAAGCTTCCCCTCTCATTGGTGATTATCTCACCCGCAATCGAGTTTGTCAGAGGTCCACTGGGGATCCCCGATGATCCTAGGGAAGGGTTACAGGCACGTCGGCCTGGGGGGTTATGGGCGCACTCACCCGCTATATAAACAAGCCATTTTATCCCAGTGGTTAGTGACTGGGATTCTGACATGGTATCAGAGCGAAGGTCTCGGGTTCGATTCCCGGTGTGTGCACTTCGGGCATCCCAGTGCGGGGGGGTGTCAGAGGTCCACTGGGGATCCCCGATGATCCTAGGGAAGGGTTACAGGCACGTCGGCCTGGGGGGTTATGGGCGCACTCACCCGCTATATAAACAAGCCATTTTATCCCAGTGGTTAGTGACTGGGATTCTGACAGAGTTGAATATATTGACCATCCTTCTTTAATTTGAAGGAGGAGGGGGGGGAGGGGGGGGGGGGGTTTGGGGGATTTTTCCTTATTCTTTACCGGGATTGACTTCTACGTGTACAGCCCTGACATTTCGGACTTCGCACGTTCGGCATACATTTCCGATGCTGAGGCTGCCCCGCGTCGCCTTCGGCTCTCCGATCGCCAAACCTGCACCCAACCTCGTTTCCCCGAGGTTCCCTCCTAGCTAGGATAGTCACTATATGATTGTGTGCCTTCATTGTATTGTCAGTTCATTGTGTCACAGCCTCGTTATTTGTTATTCCGCGCACTGTCTTTTACAACTCATAACAAAGGTCACATTGGTTTTAGGTGCAATATTCATGTCATGAATATTCTTATTTTCATGATTTCATGATCCTTCGGATGTCCTCGGATAATGTCACGACGTTCGTATACCGAGAGGAAAGAACTTTTTGTTGGAGGCGCGAGGGCGCGCGGGGCGTCACTCTATCCAGGCAGGCGACTATAAGCACTTTTGAATCGGTCGGGCTCCAAGGGCTGTGTGTGAGGGGCCTGGGCGCACGAACCCTTGCTCTTCTGACCAATCCCCAGACTGCTTTCAGCTGCCTTTGGGGCAAGGCCTGACCAATCCCGAATGAGATTTAGAAGTCTTGGCTTTCGAGTCGCATATTCGCGGCTCGATTCGAAGCGCAGCTGGGGATTTCATCCCAAAACCCCTTCAAACCACGGGCAGGCGGTGCGGTTTGTCTGAGAACCTACAACGACGGTCAGCATGCGGCTCCATTGATGTCCCTCCCCAATTCCAACCCAAGCATTCTGCCCCTCTACAGTGAATCCTGAAGCGGCTCGTGCTGGTCAAGAGGAATGCAGCGGTGGAATTTCGTTCCGGCCTAACCCTTAGGTATAGTTGGTTTTTCCGTCCACCACCGCATCTCGAACCTTTTTAGAGTTGACAACTGTTAGAAATCTACAAGAATATGAGATAAACAGGATTACTCAGCTAAAACATTGTTGTGGAAAGCAGCGGGGATACACCCCCAACCCTGCATTACCAGTTGCGGGCACACATTTTTTTCGACAAGAATCAAGGCTCTTCAGGGCGCTTTGCAATGACTGGTAACACAGAGACCACATCTTAGTTTTGGTGGCAGTGGGAAAGAGGCTCGCCGCCCCGCCACTATACCCTCGATGTGGTCGCACCACGAATGGTGGTCCCATCGTGTTTCTTCGGTTTGAGCTCTAGTTTAGTCGAAGCCATGAATTAACAAGGATTCTTGCGGTGCGTTCACGTCCCTCGTAACGAGCAACGGACGACGACCACTGCATCTAGGGCAACTCCTCTCCGCTATGTCGATTATCACTCCCTCGTAACGCAATGCGAATGGCTGTTGACTTAAACTGCGAAGCATCGGCGGGCAGTCCGCGCTTCGCACTCCACGAGCACGTTCCCGATGCTATCCCATCAGACTGCCCCGACGAGAGCATCAAAAACGACGAGCTCTTATCCCCAAGAGCGCGCGCCGATGCTACTTCCGGCAACGCCGCAATAGTTGCCGCCCATGTCGAACTCTCAGACCACGACAACCAGGCGGAACACCCGGTGAACGACGACTATGCCTGCCCGAAGAAGCGCGCGCGCGCGTCTCGCAAGGACCCAGCGGTGCGCGTTCCCGTGGGCACGCGCGTGCGCGTGCTGTGGCCGCGCGACGGGCAGTGGCACGCGGGTCGGGTTACCAAGTTCGACGCGAAGAAAGCGCTGCACACGGTGACGATTGACCGCGGGGAGTCGAAACGGATCGACCTGCGCGTTGTGCCATGGAGCATACTTGTCGAAGGAGCCCTGCATCCGGGTAGCGGTAACATGCACATTGGACTCGCAGGAAGCGTGCACCTTGGCGGTGGCAGCGTGCGCCAAAGCGAGGGCGCGTATATCGCGGACGGCGTGAGTTACTCGTCGAGCCAGCTCCACAGCCGCGCCTCTTCTTGGCAGGGACACCATCCGCCCGCCTATGGCGGCTCCATGCCAGTTGCACCTCCCCAACTTCTGCCTCCCCCTCCTCCTCCGCTACGGCTCGAGCTTCCGTGGCAGGCGCAAGCGCAACCTGCGCCGTACTCCGCGCAGCAAACGCAGGGACAGCCCGCGGGTAGCCATGGCCAGTACAACACTGTGCAGCACATGCAGGTGACGCAGCCGCTTGAGTACCAACAGCCTAGTTACCAGCAGCCTGATTACCAGCAGCCCCAAATGCAGCAGCCACAGCAGCGCCAGCCGGTGCAGGAGCCTTCCCCCGCCCCCGCGCAGCACTACTACCCGCAGGAGTACGCGCAGCAACAGAGCTACCAGTACGCGGAGCATCAGCAGCAAATCTTGTATCCGCAGCAGCTGCGGGGAGTGGCAGCGCATGCGGAATACACAAGCGCGCAGCCCGTCATTCCCGCGGATCCAACATCGCGCTCTCCCCCCGCGCTGCTTCACATCCCCGCGTTCGCTCCCGCGCCGCCGTCAGCGCGCCCTGCGGATGCCCCTTGCCCCTGCTGCCACCGGCGCAACCCCCCCGCCCCCGTATCTACCGCGCCCCTCGTTTATAAATCCCTTCCTCATGCTCCTCCGCCTGAAGTTCCGCCTCGTATTAGCGCGCCAATGCCTTGGCGGGGAAATGGAGCTCCTCCTGCTTCCCCAGTCATCAGCGCGGCACCTACAGGGGGAACTGCGGAAAGCGCGTACGCGGGGGAGAGCCGGGCAGGTACTGGCGCAGGGTCGTGCGCGCATCTTCCTTACCCTTGCGGGAGCAGCGGGAGCCGATGGACTGGCGGACCCGCGGGGGGTCCGCAAGCGGGATGCACTGGCGGGGGGAATGCGTGCGGTCACGGCTGCACGCAGGGGTACAGTGGCGCAACGTATGAAATGCAGCAGCAACCGATGTACGAGGAAGGCGCACGCGGTCGTGTATTTGACCAGCGAGTATCGGGTCAGGCGCATCCGCAGAGCTATGCGGAAAGCTCGCCGCTTCCCCGGGGCGCACAAACAGCGGCCTGGCTCCCCTCCCCCGCCGTCACGCAGTCTCATCGTCACCGCGACGTACCATGCGCGCCCCTTTCCCCCAGCTGCTGGACTTACGGCGATCAGCGCACAGGGCCCGCTGCGGTGGAGCATCCTGCGGAAGCCGCCGTGCAGCAACCGCGACTTGGACAGGACAGGCGCGCGAATAACCAGCGTCTCGTGGTCGTAGTCGCAAGCAGCAGTGGCAGCGGCGTGGACTCGGACAGCTGCAGCGGCGACGGCGACGGCGACGGCGACGGGAGCGGTCGCCGCGCGGGCGTGGTGTGGCCGGTCACGAGCGACGAGATGAACACCACGGTGGCGGAAATGCCCGTGGCGGTTCTGGGCGGGCAGATGAACGGGCAGCAGGACGGGCAGATGGCAGAGTCAGAGGACACGCGCAGGCCGTCGAAAAAGATCGAGGAGGTGAAGTTTGGGGAGTGTTTGAAGAAGAGAAAAAGGGAGGAGGTGTGCGGAGAAGCGGGCGCAGCGAGCGAGAAAGACTACCAGCGTGCAGCTGCTGTTGCAGCGCCATCGCCAGTGAAGCCCGAAATGGCGGATTGCGACATGGAGGCTGTCGAGCTCATCCTGGCCGTCGCTCACCAGCTGCGCGACGGCAAGGAGCCGCAGGCAACACCGCATGCGACGGACCATGCGATTGAGGGCGGAAGGGAGGAGGAAGGCGTGCGAAAGCTGCACGAGGATAGAGGCGCGGAGGACGATTGGGTCGAGGGCAAGGGCGAGGTGGGGAGCGGTGGAGGAGCAGCAGGTGCGACTGCTGAAGCGTCTGGAGTTCCAGAAGAAGTACCAGCTGCAGCGGCGCCAGCAGCAGGAGACGACAAGCAGAGATTCCCGGCGTGTTCCTCTGGTCCCTTCCCGCCTCTGCACCCTGTGGCTGCCACCGTGCACATGGCTTCTGCGGGGCTGCACGGCTCGCACCCTCACACTCTCACTCCCGTGTCTCTCTCTGCCAGCTCAGACAGTGACTGCACGGGGTCCGACCACAGCAAGCCCGGCGCATGGGGCTTTGCCATGCGGCCCTGTGGCGGCTGTGGGGTTGGTGGGTGTGGACGCGTTGGCCAGTGCAAGGAGAGGCAAAGGCAGATGAAATACATGAACAGCCAGCCGTGCCATTTGAACGAGCAGAGCCAGCAGAACCAGACGTATCAGCAGCATATGAACTGCCAGTATGACCAGCACAGTTGCCACCATAACCACCAGCAGCAGCTCCAGCAGCAGCATAACCACAAGCAGCAGCTCCAGCAGCAGCAGCAGGGCTATCAGCAGCAACCTAACAAGGAACAACAGCAGCAGCAGGGCCAGGGCATCCCCCTGCCACCGTGCTGCGTGCAGAATCCACTCCAACCAGGCTACACCGTACAGCCTGTGGCATCGGTGCCTGCTCCGTCCCAACCTGCTGGTCTCTCCCCTGCCACTCCTCCAAGGCTGCTTGATGCTCGTGCACCTGGCTCAGCAGTGCGCAATCCACTGCCGCAGTGCTCTCAGCAGCAGCAGCAACCGCAGCAGCAGCCTCAGCAGCAGCAACAGCAGAACCAGTACCAGCAGCAGCACCTACAGCAGGATTCAGTGAGTGGCGGCCATGGCGCAGCAGCAGCGGCCCCCCCAGCAGCATCTCCATCTATGCGGCTGCGCCTACCCATGGCTCTCTTCACCAGCACAACCACTCCGCCACCCATGCCCCCTTCTCGGCGCACTCCTCCCACGCCCACCCTCCCCCCCTGCTCCACCACACCAGCCATCCCTCCCATGCTCTCCCTGCCTGCATCTACACCTCTCCCTGCTCCCCCTGTAGCTGTCGCTCCTTCCCCGTCTGCTCCTGCTCCTTTGCCTTCCCCTGTTGTGGGTAGCCAAGGCATTCCTCCCCGCTCGTCCCCCCGTGGGAGTGCACCTCCTATTCCCCTGCTCGCCATGCCAACCACCCTTGACCTCCCTGCTCCTGCTCGTCCTGCTCCCCCTGTTCCTCTTGGCTTTCCCGCTTCTGCTGCTCCTGCCACTGCAGCCTCTCCCCAGGCGCCGCAGCCTGTCCCTGCATCCCAGACCCGGCCTTCCCCACTTTGCCTGCAGCTGCTGCCACAGCGCCAGCCGTCTCCCTCCCTGCCATGTGCCCCACTGCTAGCTGCTTCTACCCAGCAGCCTGCTCTCCGCCTGTCCCTGCCCCGACGCCTGAACACCCAGTCACCACCAGCTGCATCCCTGCCACTTCAACGGCCCTCCCCAGCGTCATCCCTGCCATCCGCTCGTGTTTCTCTCCTCTCCCTGCCGCCCACCCTTACCCTCCCCAGCCCTGCTCTGACTATCCAGCCACGGGCTGCCTCTGCAGCTGCTGCAGATTCGGCAGGGCCTGTTAGCACAGGAAGCTCGCCTGCTCTTGGGCCCAGGGCGCATTCTACTCTGCTGCGCTTGCCAGCGCACTTGGTTTCCTCCCCTCAGCCTCAGCGTGTTTGCTCCCCGTGTTAAGCAATCATCAGGATCAAACCTCCCTTTTCCTGCGTCACCCTCACCCCCTGCTTTGTGTACTAGATAACTGGCCTTTGGTGATATAACTGGCCTATGCTACTTCTCGTAGTGTTGCTGCAATAATCTCCTCATTTAGCTGCTAGAGCATGCTTGTGTGTTTGTAAATCATGCTGCTGGATAACGCTAGAAGTAGCTACTCTTGATTTGTTATAGATAGAGTGTTGTAGTCTCTAGCTTATATTGGAATGGTAGAGGTGGTGTGCTTGTAGATAGTGCCTGTTGGCTGTAGTAAATCAGGTAGTGTACTCATCTAGATTAATCCGTACTTACCAGTTTGGGTTTGCGCCTAGAAAACTCCATTGTCGAGCGAGCCATGCCCGCTTCCAAAAACGACAATTTCGAGGTTGTGGTTTCAACCAGCCAACAGCACTCCCAACCAGGCCTCCTCCTCCACCCTCGAGCCTATCCTGTGACACGAGCTCTCGCCGCCGATGTTCTTTCAGCCACGAAGAAAAACCCGTCCTGTGAAGCGCGTCCTTCCAGCTACAGTATAATCTCGCGCTCCAGCTCGCGTTTCTGTTTGCTCGTCGCTCCATCCGCTCCGATGACCTGATAGCTAGTTTTGTTGCATGGCATGTCTAAACTGGAGCCATCGTGTTCTGCTTGCGCGCGCGTCGTATGGTAGTGATTGTATCTTCGACTGCACTCAGGTTTCTAAACTAGGTTGGTGCTCCTTAGTAACTAACAGCCCGAATTCACTCTCATAACCATGACGCTTTTCAATCAAGCACATGAACAACCCTGTATCCCCGCTCTACGAAGCTTCCTAGCCAAACATACAAACTATCTTACACCTTGTCCTAATCAGTATTCATCACTAAAAATCTTATTCGCCCGTAACGTGTCATTGACTCGCTCCGTTCCTAGCCTTTGACCACCACAAGCATTTTCAGCCATACGCCTTTGTCTCTATTCAAATCTGTTTAGGAGTTGCATCCAACGTTGTCCCACGAATGCCCTTCTTACCCCTGCGCCGTCTCTGTGTCCAGATGTGCTCATGCGTCCCGCGTTACGGGTCGAGAGATTCGTCAGGCGCTCGGGAAAACGTTTAGGAGAACTTATGCGCTCATGCCTTAGGAAGACGGAGTGAACTCGCACGTCGTACTCCCCACCTTGTCTTCTCAAACATATTCTCGCCACTCCAAAATTCTCCGCTATGGACCGTTCCTCCGCTCCAGGCGGCGGGAATCACGCCGCGTATCCCACATGGAACGCTCCAATCGTCCAGCCGGTTCCGTACCCGCCGTACGCTGCCTTCTATCCGCATCCGACTTATAATCGACTGCCGCAACCTGTCGCTCTCGTGCCGATTCCTGCGGCGCCGTTCGCGCAACAGCCTCCGTCGCTCTACCAGCAGCAGCAGCTGGTGCTACAACAGCAGCTGCACCAGCGGCAGCAGGAGATGCAACGTCAGGAGCTGCAACGTCAGCAGCAGCAGCGGCAGCAGCAGCCCCAGCCCCAGCAGCAGCAGCAGCATCGGAATACTCTAGGGAACGCGGAGGCGTTTCAGAGGCTAATGGAGGCGTTTCCGAGCCTGGGGCATAGCTGCGTAGAGCGCGCGTTCCTGGACGCTAAATACGACGTGAACCTCGCAGCAGCCGTGCTCGCATCATCGCAAGAACAGCCTGCGACCGACCTTGCTGCTGCTGGTGGTCCTTCTGGTGACTCTGGTGGTGCTGCTGGCGGCAAAGGCGGTGCAACGCAAGGCGGAGCAGCAGTCAAGGATGGCGCAGCAGCGCGCCAAGCGCTGGAGCAGGAGCACCGGTGGTGGGAGGAAGCCCCTTTTGCTGCAGCAGGAAGGGCGGCGGGGGAGGTAAAGGCGGAGAGGGGGTTGGAACGAAAAACTGATATACAGGGGAGTGGCGCGGGTGGGGAAGATGAGGACGTGTTCGTGTGGGGTGATGGGGGGTGGGAAGCGGTGGACGAGTGCACGAACGAAACAAGAGGTGGGGGGCATTTGAACAGGCAGGGGAACGCGCAGGGGCAGGAGAAAGGGCGGGGTGACGAGAGGAGGAGTAGGAAGAGCAAGGGAAAGAAAAAGGTGGAAGATAAAGTTGATGTGATTCCGGAAGTGGAGGGGAAGGCGTTTCGTGGTGGGGGGGGAACGAGTGAAGGGGGCAAGGAAACGACACAGCATGACAGCAAGAGGAGTAAACTCAAGGCTCCTTCTCCTCAGAAGCCAGAAGCAGAAGCAGAAGCAGAAGCAGCAGCAAGAGGGGCTGAGCAAGGAGGAGGGTGCAGTGCAAGGGAGCGGGTCAGGGAACCAGGCAGAACGCACGCCTGTTTTAACTGCTGCCACTCCTGATGATGCCACTGCCGCCACCGCCACCGCTGCCGCCACTGCTAATGTTGCTGGTTCTTCTGGCGCGGCAGCAGCGTGCGGTGGGGGAGAGGGCGAGGTTGAGGGCGAGGGCGAGAGCAGCAGCATGGAATACAGCGACATGGTGGATTTCTTCTACTCCATGCTGGGCAGCCCTGCTTGCATTGACAAGGACACCATCAGCTACGTCATCTGTCAGTCCCCTCGCTCTCTGCTTTCGCCCCGCCTTGTGTTTTGTCTGGCTCTGTGCTCCATCCCGCCTTGTGTTTCGACCAAAATTCTGCTTCGCCCAACCTGCCTTACCGTTGCTTTTTCAAGTTATGCGGGATGTGGGTCATTGTATGGGTCATTGTACCAAACGGTATGGGAGAGCTGCTACAGAGCTGCGCTGTCGTGCCTTCGCTGTGTCCCCCGTGCCATGCCATGTCTTCATGCTCCGTCTCTTCCCTCTTCCCGTTCAATGCGTGTCTTTATGCTGGCATGGCATGGCATGGCATTGCATGTCTGGCTTGCGGCGTGTGCTGCGGAGGGTGGGCAATGGTGATGTGATGGTGCATGCCCCCCCCCCCCCCCCCCCCCCCCCCCCCGTGTGGTGTGTTTCTGAACGCGAATTATGGCATGTGTGCGAGCCGAGCCGACTGCACTGCCATTGGTGCCTGTAAACGCAGCTTTCTACAACGGAGACATGTCTCAGGTCACTCCTCACTCCATCTCCCTCGCTCTCCCTCCAATCCTCCACATCGCCAACCCTCCAACTTTCCAACTCTCCATACATCTCTTGGTCTCTCTCTTGAACCGCCACTGCACGCAGCACTCTAGTCCATCCGTGTCCTCCCCCCCCACCCTCCCTCCCACCTCTGCAGCCAATTCTCTCTGCTCCCACCCCCTTTTTTTTTCAACCCACATCAGTCTCCTCTATTTCCTCTCCTCACTGCCCCCGTTACTCTGCATCGCACCCTTTCAGAAATTCTCCCCATAGCTTCACAATCTTCATCCTCTTTCCGTCCTCTCACCCTTCCCTCGCCCCTCCTCTCCGCTCCTCCCCTCCTTCCGTCTTGCAGAGTCTGGAGGTGCTGTTAGGGCTCGTGGGCGGGCAGGCGGATCAGGGCGGAGGGGAGGGCGCACAGGGAGGGGGAGGGGCAAGGGGGGAAAAGGGGGAAGGCGGATGGGGGAGTGCGTATGGTGATGTGGAGATGGAGGATGCAGAGGGATGGTACCCTGGGGGGGAGGATGCTGCTGCTGCTGCTGCTGCTGCTGGGGATGATGCTGCTGTTGGTGTTGGTTCTGCTCTTGCTGGTGCTGGTGGTGCCGCTAGTGCTGATGGTCAGTTGAGGCGTGGTGGGGTTGGTGGGGAGCAGCAGCAGCAGCAGCAGCAGCAGCAGCAGAAGAGGTTGGGAGTGGTACAGATGGATGAGAATATGGAAGATGCATTCCAAGCCAGTGCTGCTGCTGCTGCTGCTGCTGCTGCTGCTGGTGATGCTGCTGGTGATACAGCTGCTGGGAGTGCAAGGGGCGATGAGCAAAAGCTGGCCACGCTCTGTGACGCCTTCCCTTCCTTTGACCGCGCTGTTGTCGCTGCGTTCTTGGAGGTAGGGGGGAAACACGCACACAGCCTTTGCCGCCTTCGCACTCCACTCACCCAAACACCCCCCCACCCCCCTCTCTTCCCCCCCCCTCCCCCCCCCCCTCCCCTCTCTGCTTGTCTCATGCTTCAAAGCGCCACCGTACCCCCCACACTTGTCTATATAAGGCACAAATTCTCCCTTCCTCCGTGCTGCCCCTTTTTGAGATCAACTTCTCCTCTCTCCCACCCCTCTTACTGCGCCCTTCCCCGTCCCCACAATACTATCTTCCTGTCTCCTCCTCTTTCCCATCCACCTTGCTCCCACTACCCTTTCATCCCATCCACCCTCTCTCCGTCCACCCTACACGCCTACATATATCTACTCCACAGTCTCTGGAGGGCGACATGGATGGAGCAGCACACGCACTGCTGGCTCAGGAGACAGCAGCAAAGGCTGCCGCCCCCTCTGCACCTGCTCCTTCAGCTGGTGCTGCTAGTGGTGCTGCTGCTGCTGAGGTAACAGCAGGCAGGAGTGTACGGCATCAGTTAGGAGCGAAGAAAGAACAGGTGAGAATGGTTGATATAGGAGGGATGATGATGGGTGGGTGCAGGGCGAGGGTATGAAAGGGAGAAAGGGGGGGGCAAAAAGGGGGGGCGAAAGGGGGGGATGAAAGGGGGACGGGGGAGGTATGCGTGTTATTACTTACCCTCAGAGAAGCTGGTCACTACTGCCTTGCCTTGCATTCACCCTATCTTCTATCCCATCCGCACTCCCCTTCCGTCCAGCCAGTGTCCCCCTTTCTCCTTTTCGACCCCATTCCCCTCCACCCTTTTTCCCCTTCCCACCCGTTTACCCTCTTCAACTCCTTTTCCCTCTTCAGTCCCTCCTTCCTTTTTAATCCATTTCCCCCCTTTGACTCCTTCTCGTCCACCCCTTCCGGTTGCGCCCCTGCGTTCTCCTTTTCCCGGCCTTGCCTCCACGCAGGGAGGGGGAGTGGAGGAGAGGGCGGTGATGGAGCAGCTGTTGCTGCTGTACCCGCGGGTGGACCGTGACTCGCTCCTGCAAGTGCTGCGCGCCTGTGCCGGCTCCCTCAGGTGTGCCGGTTCCCTGCGTCCCTTTTCTCCTGTAGAGTACCCTTGTTGCGTTGCGAGTACTCACTTCACCTCTCTTGTCCCGCTCATGCATCTCCCAACCCAATTCTTTATTAGACTCCAGAATCATCTCCCAATACCCGCTCTTCCCCTCCCTCATTCCACTCTCCTCCATGTCTACCCAGTGACACGTGTGCCTTTCTTGACAGCTCAGAGGTGGCAGCAGAAGCAGAAGCAGCCGCCCGAGGTTCAAGCACCCAGCGCAGCAGGGCACATGCAGCACAGAGAGCGGGGCAGAGGAGGCGGGAGGAGGTGCCTCTGTGGAAGTGGAGGGCCCAGCACAGAGCTGCAGAGCGCGCTGCTGCTGCTGCTGCCGCTGATGCTGGTGCTCGTGCCGGCGGTTATGGTGCTGCTGATGGCGGAGTTGGTGGCGATGGTTATGCTGGTTCTGATGGTTATGGTGCCGCGGATAATCACGGCTATTGGGGTGAGGGTGTGGCAAGTGCTGTTCAGGCAGATGCTGGTGCGGGTACCCAGCTACGTGTGAATGAAGGCGGTGCTGCTGCTGCTGCTGCTGCTGCTGCTCCTCCAGCTGCGGTGGCTGCTCCTGCTGCTGCTGCACCAATAGGGCGTCCCGCCTCTCCTCCCAAGTCCTCCGACTGCTACAAGCGGCATCGTGAGGCGGCGTTTGAGAGGAAGAGGATGATGCAGTATTACTTCCGAGAGGTGGGCGTTTCTTGACAACGTTTCAAATCGGGAATAGTATAGTAACGAGTACCAACACCTTCAATATGATGCAGTGTTACTTGCAAAAGATGCACATCCATACAACGCCCTGTCCACAACCCTGCTTGCTCAACTCAACATGGCTCTGGCTGTACCTCCCACTTCTTTTCCCCTTGATCCTATTTTGCGCCGGGTCCTCCTTGCCCGCTGCACCCCCTCCTCTTCCCCTCCTAACCTCTCCTTCTCTCCCCATCCATCCCTCAGCATCCTATGCTTCTCCCATCGCTTTTCCCCCCTCCTCCTCCCCTGTCCGTCGCCCCTCGCCCTCGTCCATCCTTTGGTGGCAGGCTAGTGAGGCGTGGAGGCGAGGGGAGAGGCAACGAGCAGCAGCCCTTGCAGACAAGGTGGGGCCCGTTCTCTGCCCATAAGGTGCAGCGATCTGTCAAAACTCTAAGTTGTGGTGCACGCATGCTGCACGGTTGATGATGGAATGAAAGCAGGGCAAGGCCTTTGCTTGTTGCACAGCAAGCAAGGCGAGCATGTTTCGCACACAGCAACCCGTGTGTGCATGTCCGGCCAATCGCTCCTTCCTTTCGTGTGTTCTTCTGCTCCAAAGCTTGACCCTCGTCCCTTCTGCCATGGCCAAACCCCCGCTCCAGGCTAAAACCGTCTGTGGATTGATGATTGATGGTCAAACCTGTACCCTGTGTGACTCCCTCCCTCCGTCCTCCTTCCAGGGACACGAGTATCGGGAGGAGTATCAAGAGCTCATGCAAGAAGCAGGGCAACGCATTTTTAGGGAGAAGTAAGCAAGCAAGCACCCCTGCTGCTCCTGCCCACACCATCAGCTTTCTCACTAGGCGCTTTGAGCTGCTTCTTCTCCCGAAACAGCTACTCCTGCTACCCTTCTGCGCTTTCTGCCGTTCACTCTGCATTGCACGTGCTGCTTTCCATGTAGCCGAGGAATTGCAGCACGTGCGGTTGCGGTTATGTGTTCTCCTTTTTACTGAATTCGCGTGCCTGTGCCCGTGCCTGTGCCCGTGCCTGTGCCCGTGCCTGTGCACATGCCTGTGCTATGCACGGTGCGCACAGCAACGAGCGGCTGGGCAACAACATGGATGTGGATCTGCACCACCTGCATGTGGACGAGGCATTGCAGCACCTGCAGCTGCACCTCACTCTCCTGCAAACCCTACCCAGTCAGTCCCCGCTCTCCCCACTTGCCCCTCCCCATGTGCATTTTGAGTCAGTCCCCTTCCTGCTCGCATCGTCCCATGCTCCTCTTCCCTCCTCGCGTCCATCACATCTCATCTGCCACTCACGCTTCACAGTGCCACTTTCCCCTTGCCTTTCCTCATCACCTTTCCTCGTCATATTGCTCTGCGGCGTACCGACACCCCACAGCACCCCTCTACACCCCTCTATCTCTCCAGTCTCTCTGCATCTGCTCTTTACTCCTCTCTCTGGTCCGTTCCCTTCCCAAGCTCGTTCATGCTATGCCAGGAACCTTTTCCCAGAGACTTGGTGTGTGGGGGGGTGGTGCTTGATGCTGGTGACTGTGACTCGCTGGGTGCTGTCCTATTGTCTGGGATGTGTGTGTGTGAGGTGTGTCTATGCATGGGGTGCTGTATGAATGCTCTGCTGCATGCACGGGTCTTGCTGCTGTGTGCAGCTCTCAGCAGCATAACGGTCATCACTGGTAGAGGCAAGCACAGTGCTTCTGGGCAGGCCAAAATCAAACCTGCGGTAAGGTTGGGGGAAAGGGGGAAGGGGACGGGAGAGAGGGGGAGGCGGAGAGTGGGAGGGGCGGAGAGTGGGAGGGGCGGAGAGTGGGAGGGGTTCACAGCATCGACTCATCTCAAGTCTGGCTTCTTATAATGCTTTGGAAAGAAGGATGGGTAGGAAGCTGGCCGTGAGGCACTTGCTGTGGGTCACTTGCGAGCCGATGTCATAATGTACATGGAGCTCTCCATCTTACTGCTGCCTTCCCCTCACCATCCCACTGTTGCCTTCACCTGACCATCCCACTGGTGCCACTGCCTGTGCGTGTCTCTCAGGTGCACCGGTACTTGCAGGAGAGAGGAGTGGGGTGGCAAGAGCAGAACGCAGGCAGCATCCGCATCACCCGCTACAACCTGCCTCCGGATCCCATCCGTAGATGACCACTTGACTTGACTCCATGCACGCCTGTGTGGCAGTTACTGACGTGCCTCATCATGCCGTAACAGGCAGCATCCGCGAATAACCTGCCTCCCGATCCAATTCTGTAGACGATCACGTGAGTCAGTCCTTCCAGATTCCACGCCAGCCCATGCTCATTCTGACAGGAGAGTCAAGTCAATCGGATCAAAAGCATCGGCGGCATTACCTCCTACAGCTTTGCCTCAAGATCCGTTCCCTAGATGATCACCTCAGCAGGTCCATGCACATTGCATTGTGGTTGATTCTGGATGGAAGGTAGATGGCTTGGGTGGATGGTTGGGTTGGAGTCACTGACTGCATTGCATGGTTACAGATTTGCTGGCGATAGAAAGATCTGTTGATACTGTACCGGTAATCCCTCCTTAGTCTAACCTTTACATCTTCACCCGCTTGTGACTTACGGTACCATATATTGCATCCAGACGTAAATCTTCACTAGAAATGTAGTGTGAAAGGGTGTACAGAATTCCATAGCAGGCTGGTAGCTGCTCAGCACCAAAATGTTCAATAAAAACACTGGTAGGTAGGTACAAACAGGCTATGTAACAAAACTTGTACAGCAGAATCTAGTGGGCCTGCTGCTGGCCAATCAAATGCAGCCATGCGTCAGACCACGAAACCAGAGTCGTTTCTGTAGCCGCCAAGCCAACCAGTCACACAACATGCAGCCACATGGCAGACCAGGAAACCAGAGAGTCTTTTCTGTAGCTGCCAAGCCAACCAGCCACACCACATGCAGCCACGTGCCAGACCAGGCAGGTGAGAAGTCAAATGACATGCGGCACCCATAAGCAGCCATACTCACAGAAAATGGCATGCGGTAAAGGCAGGCCTGAGAGTGTCGCACAAACAGCTGAATTCACCCACTTGAGTGGCTTGGATGTGGGAGAGTGGAGGGGGGCGTGAGAGATGAGGGAAATGAGGGGGTGGTGGTAGGGGAGAGGAGGGAGTTGAAGGGTGGATGTTGGAGAGGGGGAGGGGGGGGAACGAGGAATCAGCGAGGGGAAAGTTGAGGTATTGGAGGGGGAACGGGATGAGGGATGAGTCGGAAAGCAGGGAACAGGGGTGGAGGGAGAGAGGGGGGGAACAGAGTGAGACAAGGGGAGGTGAGGGTGGGCGTGAAGGAAGAGAACAAGACAGGCAGCAGAGATATGAAGGGGAAGTTAGTGTGGGGAAAATGAGGAGAGGGCGGCGGAAATGAAGGGAGAGCGGGGGGAACGAGGGGAGAGTGGGGAATATGAGCAAGTAGGAGAGCTAAGGGGAAGCGGGGGAAGGGGGAAAAGAGGTGAGAGAGGGGAGGGGGAACGTTTCTTGGCTAGGTCACGGGGGGAAAGGGAGAGACAAAAAAGCGGGGAAATGGGAAGGGGGAGGGGAGATCAAAGGGTGGCCGCTTCGCCTTTTACCTTCCGTCATTCCTCTCCGTCCTCAATAATGTCCCTTTACCCGTGCATTCCTCCTTTTCTCCCTTCACTCACTTACCGGCCTCTCTTTTTACCATCTTGCGTCCAGCGTACCATCGACGCGCACTAGAATCCAGGAAGATGAAGGGGAGAGCGGAAACGGGAGGGGGAATCGGAAAACCAGGGGAAAGTGGCAGCTTCGCCGTTTCGCCAGTCCTTATTATCCATTTCCCCATCTTCTCCCGACCACTCACCTCCCGCCCTCTTTTTTTCCGTCTTGCGTCCAGGATACCGTCGAGGCTCCGATGTCGTCGAAACGCGCTGCATAATCGACGAAACGCGCTACCTTACCGATGCGACCGAAATCGACGCTACTAATTCGCCCAGTTACGATTCCGTCCGCATCATGTAAATAGAAGCCAGATCTGGATCGCGCAACTTCTTGCCGATACTGCGACATCTTATCATATCTGGTGCAGCTAGCACGCCAACAGACGCGCCTGAAGCGACTTCCAGTAAGTACCACCGAGAAAGTGAGCAACATCGTCAAAAGAAAAAATATGCCATGAAAAAGATGTTCTCAGATCGAGTACCGCGCTGAGATCTGACCTAACAAGAATCATCCATGGACACCGACAAGGTGAGCGGCGAAACTACCACTGGAAGCAGATAAGGTCGCGATGTCAAACCTCGCTATTACTTTCTGGACAAAGATGGGTGAGGGATTAGGTGTGGCAGGTTCGGAAATTCGAGGTTCAGTTGTTGATACAGCTGATGCTCACACCATGCACGCGAATTTGCCTTGCGCCGGATGGATACGCTGCACCCGAGGTTGTTTCCCCAGCTTCATGCACCTACATTACAAGCGCGTCGCGTGGTTATCAACCAATAGTAACGAACATACCGAAGTCAAGCAGAAGAGACTGAAGTCAAACGAGGTAACAGATCTTGTTTATAAGCACATGCGAATCCTTTTTAGCTAGCTGCGAATTGACGAAACTTATGCGAAATGCTCGTGACAGCTTATACGCCCCCTTCATAAGGCAACCGGGAGGGGCTCAAACAGGCATCAGCTGTAACGCCATGGTGATCGTGCCATACCCTTCATTCCCATTGGTTCACGTAAATCTTTTCTCATCCACCCATTGTTATTCCTGCTGCCCAGCCACCCGAACTGTTCAGCACCACGCACGAATTCCACGACCAAATGGAAGCCGTCCCGCAACTCACGCCGAACAAAAAAAAGCTCGCTTATACACAAGATGCCCAACCCCTGCACGCGAAATTGTCTCTCACATTCCAGAAACCTTGCACACGAAGGTTTTTTCCCGGGCAGTTGCACCCACGTTACAAGCACGTCAACCAATACGAACCACAGAAACAGAAGAGACCGAAGTCAAACAGTAAACGCTGAGTTACAAAATTTTGCTATAAGCCCTTTTTGCCCGATGCGAATTGACGAAACCTCCACGAAATGCATGAATCACTTAAGCGCCCCCTTCACAAGGCAACCTTGGGTTAGTCAAACGGACATCGTGTGTACTACTGTACCCAACTAAAGATAGTGCCACGTCAACCACCTCCTAGAAAGTTCCGAGCCTGCCCTTCTCCACCAGTACAGTACGTTCAACAGACCCCACCCTGCACGCGCCCTTAGCAATTTCGTTTGCATGAAAATGTAAGGGAAAATATGCCATTCGTAACCTTCATGGGACTCGATAACACAGTTGGTAAAAAAATAAAGGGTACGGTCACTGCAAAGGGTGTTTTCACGCGACTGATAAAGAGTTTCACGGAATCAGTCACAATCAACAGGTAAAAAAAAACGCGAATGGTCACAGATGAAATTCCCGCCAAAACAAAATGAAACCCAAAAAGAATCTGGGTGCATTTTCGGATGAATCAACCCTAACACGTAACTAGCCAGGTGTTTAGGGTTGATCCGTTCCCGAACCGCATCCGATTCCGATTGGGTTTTAGTTTTTTTTTTACAAGTTCGCAGATTGGTTGGGGGCGAGCGGGAATTTTGTTGAGTTTCAAGTTTTTTTGGCGGGAGTTACATGTGTGACCATTCGCGTGATTTTTTACCTGTTGTTAATGACTGAATCCGTGACCCCACTTACCAAACCCGTCTGGAAACCCGATACAGTGACCGTACGCGTTTTTTCTGTACCATTTACGTTATCGAGTCCCAAGTTCGTTACTTGTGGCATATTTTCCCAAAATGTAAACCCAACTGTGAACTGTACGATGAATGTACAAGATGGGTTGGGCTGGATCAGGGCATTCACCTTTGCGTGCGCCGTAGGATCAATTTGATCCTGAGGTGTATAACACATGGACAGATTTCCCGCCATCGCTTCAACAGGGGGGCTTGCCGCACAGAGCTCAGAACCGTCTGGGAGAAGATCAAACTGGGGCCGAACATTAGCAGGAAAGTGACCAAATTAGGGCCGGGTTCTTCCCAACCGTTGGATGCACCTCTGAGGCTGCCCAAGTGATAAGCCGAGATTTCGAACCTAGATTTACAGGAAAATACAAACTTTTAGACTTTATTGGATCAGGTTTTGATACAGAGGTTATGATCGCCGCCTATTACGAAACTCGCGTCGCATTCCTCTGGGAGTAGGTTTCATCGTGGTTCTCAGAAAATTTACATTACTTTAGTTGACAAAAAAAATAAAACCTAGTCAGAGACGGATGCGACTCGGGGAGGCATCAACCCTAAACTCTACTTGGTTTCCCGTGTTTAGGGTTGATCCCTCCCGAAAATGCGTCCGGGTTCTCTAGGGGATTAGTTTTTCCTCCCTGCCCTAACAATTTCTGGTAGCGTCGTCTAGTGCTTCGTAGTGCTGATGAGTGGAAAACACTGATTTATTTCGACACAACGACATCAAAATTCAAATCTAACAGTTACGACGCGCGAGGTGGTCGGAACCTTTGACAAGTGAAATTGAATCGCGATTATGGGAAATTCGGAGTTTAGCTCCAAAAGTCCAGGCTCGGTTTCTCCGACCCTAATTCGGTCATTTTCCTGCTTATGTTCGGCCCCAATTTGATCTTCTCCCGAACCGTCTCAACTCGGCAGTTTTCGTGCAAGGCAAGGCTAGGGATGATTTCTGAGCTGGCGAACAGATACCTCTTCGCTAACAACCAGCCTCACGAAACCGACGCATGGAAAATTTTGCCACGTGTAAGGGGATTGCCGCTCAACTTCACCCTTGAACTATGTTCCTGCGCGTTGACGAAGGCCATTTTTCAGTCACCAAAGCGTTCGCCAATTCGCAGGAACTCGAGTTGGCTGACCTCCTCCTTCAAGCGGATGATGACTTCACAGCTGCTCTGTAGCTTGTCTCTACCGCCGCTGGTGTCAGGCCCAGCACATTATCTTGATTTCCCTCCAACTCATCGCCCTGCATCCGCCTCCTTAGCACTAGAGCGGCTCAATTTGATAGCGCGCTTCGGGAAACGAACTGCGCCGTTGGATTAGCGGCTGTTTTTGGCCACGTCACGAGATTTTTGAAATTGGTGTTTCTACCCGTGTTTCTTTCTGTCCAATC